CCTCCTCCTCTTGCTCTCCCTCCATCCATGCTTGCAAAGTTCTTGAATTGGCTAAACTGAGGGCTTTTTGTAGTTGGCTAATTGGTGTTCAGTTTTGAAAGTAAGTGCCTTCAGGTGTGTATTGAGTGGTTGCAATTACCCCATGTGTTTTGTATTTTGGATACATGTGTTTTCCAAATGGCACCCTGAAATTTCATTTTGTGAATGAAGTGTCTTATCTATGAAATAGAGTGTAGTGTGCAGGACCATGTGTGTTGCATAATTGCAACTAGGGTGCAAAGCAGCGCTTTTGTTTAAGGTATGGGTACATGTGTTTGCGGTCTGGTAACAAAAGCTTCAAGTTGTGTTACTTTAGTCTAAGCGTGGCTTTATAGTGTTCAAGCAACGGGCAACAACTGTAAGTCGTCCTGAAAAAACAGCATCTGTTTGAACAGGTTCCACAAAACTCTGGTTTCAGTCTCGCTGGTGTTTCATGGTATGAGTCGTTAAATTAAATATGAGCTCAGTGATGGATTAAAATCAACATTTGTGCTGGTGCCATATGCATGTGACGAGTTCAGGGTGTGGAGGTCAGGGCAAAGATTTGTAGGTCACTGTGTGCAGGATCTTCAGGAACACTGTGTGTGTGTGTGTGTGTGTGTGTGTGTGTGTGTGTGTGTGTGTGTGTGTGTGTGTGTGTGTGTGTTCTTTGTCAGGAAGACACAGTCTGAGGGGTAATCCGACATCCATCACAGCCTCAGTGAGCAACACACTCTCTGTGTAACAACAAGGAGACAAAGGGCAGGGAAACAGTGGGAGGGCCTCTCCATTCATGGTGCCGGGCTGGGAGACGTCCTTTTGTCGTGGCTTCAGAGGAAAGAATGAGGCAGCAGAGGACCAACATGACACAGCTGTTTGTGGAGTGACCAGTACAACTCTGCAGAGAGCTCAGAAGCTTCTAGAGGAAAACCACGGCGCTCCGACGAGCTCAGCACACGCTCCTGCTTTCTCCTGAGGCTACAGGGCGGCCGTGTAGACACAGGGTAACTTATCAGGCCCATAATCAATGGCACCAGATTACAGATCACTCTGGGCGGTTACATCATCGCTCTTTCATTTTCTGTAGATCCTGCATTAATTTTGTGAATTATTTTTTGTTTGTTTTTTAAATCGCAAGGAGAAATTGTACTTTCTAACGTAAAATAATTACACACACTTTATTGCAGCACGTGTGTGTGTGTGTGTACAGAGGAGATTTCAGCCCTGCTTCAAACCTTCAGCATGACAGGACAACCTCTGGGAATATCGCACGATCTGATAGGGTCGTGTTGGTGTTGTTCCCAGATCAACATAGTAAATGTTGTTGCAGGATCAACATTGCAAGTGGCCAATCAGAATGTTGTGACGTCATACTTTTGCAACTTCGGGAAAAAACGCCGTAAAACAAAAAAACTGTACTTAAGCTGCGAGAAACCGCCTCTGTCCGCCGATCAACGGACCCTGACCCTTTAATAAACGCTGAGCAGAACTGATATTGTCCTTGCAACATTGGAATTTCATAAATGCATGAATGGCTTGGCGCACCAAAGAATAACGTCACAACAATGTGATTGGTCACTTGCAATGTTGATCCTGGAACAACATTTACTATGTTGTTCCAGGATCAACATCAACACGACCATATCAGATCATCCGGGAATATCTGAGTATCATAGCCACAACAAATATGGCTGATGTTAAAAGCATGTGCTCCCTGTCATTAAGCTGCTTCATATTAAACTCATTTATTTAAACTTTCTCAAACGATACATTAACATGTTACGTCCGCACAAGGATGGATTGATTGATTGATTGATTGATAATACTTTATTCATCCCGAGGGAAATTGGGTTAGGGCTGCCAGCTGTGCCAGCTCCATCTTCATCATGATCATCATCAAGGAAAATAAAATAAATACATAGAAATAAATAGTGTACAAATAAAAACAAGAGTTGTGTCTACTGTTTACAAATGGTTGCTATATACAGTAAATACACTCGGAGAATGTAAATATGTAGATAAAGTTCAGTGGGAGATATAAATGTCACCAAACCTGCCTTATAGCTGTTTATTTAGCTTACAGTGCATTGTATTTAAAATGCTGACTGATGTGCTCTTTGGGTGTTTCAAACCTGATCACAGGTGTTTTCACAGCATAGTCTGAGCAAACAGACGAGCAGCCCCTAAAAGCTGAGAGCCACTCTGTTTGATTTTATGGTGTTGATTTTTCATGCGCTGCTGTGACAGCAAGATAAGACGCGTCTTCACATGTTTCAACGCAACACAAACAGCAGGAAGAGAGAGCAATAAATATCACATCAGGTGACGGAGAAGCTGCAGCAGTAAAATGCTTTCTATGTGTTTACTGAGCCACCGGCACTCTTCCATCGTCCTGATGAGGAGTTTGCATGTAAGTAAGTCACCTGTTGACTGTGGAGGGGCAGGAATGAGTGTTGGTACCTCCGATCGTTGATTTAATGACGTGCATCTCGGGCAGATCTTCATGTCAGCATGTGAGATGGGTCACTGTTCAAATCCAGTTAGAGCACATGAAAGGTGTCCTTTATACCTACATTGTGATGGACCCCTCAACATCAACCATTTCATAGAAATCATTGTATTTGTCCAAACAATTTTTTAAGTTACAAATGTCCACATATTTAATTATTTTCTGTGTAAATCTGGAAAGTTCGATCTGTTGATATTTTTGTTTATGTGGTACGGACTGTAATATTTACTCAATCCAACATGAAAGTTGAATAAAAATACAATTTTCTTTGTTTTTGTGACAAAAAAAATTTAAGTTAAGAGAATTGTGTCTTTTATTTTTGCATTATTATGAAATATGATGATACTGTTCAGAAATTACCACTATTTGTCTTTTGCAATGTCAATTTTTTAAATTAATGTGTGCTCAAATATGCTACTTTGCAAAGTGATGCATTTTTACTAGCCTGAGGTGTTATGTGTCCCAAATTACAGATGCTGATTTACTTTGATATAAAGATGAGTGAAAAAAATCAGGCTTTTATCTTTAATGGTTTTTGAGATATTCATGTTCAAACGTGAGTTTCAGTGCGCAAAACAATGGCCTGTGAGTGGCTCAAAGGAGCATTTTTCAGAAACATATCTAAGAAAGTATTTGGTAAAGGAAGCTAAAATCTCACAGCAATCACTATATTTGTTCAAACTTTGGACCATAGTCTTCATGCAAATGATGGAGCAGGATTTGAGGTGGAGCGACTGTCTTGAAGTTGCATGGAGTCCTACCTTCACACTGTGAGTATTTTCAAAGTTATGGGGAGAAAACATTTTTCATTTTTAAATTTGTGTAATTTTCATTAGTGAGACCTCATAAAGGGACCCATAGATCCTGATGCTGCTCCATGAACTCCTCCATGAACTCGCAGATGCTTCTTAAGGTGGAAATGATATTTAACAAAGAGAAAAGAGTGCGAACAAGCATGCCAAAACTCTCCTTTAAGCAGGATTTAAAGCAGGACTTTTCCTTGTAACGGCATGTTGTTAATCTGATATATTGGTACTTTTACATAAGTAAAGGAGCTGAAGAATTCTTCCTGTGCCATTGCACTTTGGGGGTCTGTTCTCTGGAGCCTCACTTTGGTGAGGTAAGTGAACTTTCACAAAAACCCTGCTGCAATAAATCTGGGGCT